TATATAAAATAGATAAAGGTTTGCTTGTGTGGTCTGAATTATTAGCTGGTCACTGCATCTCATGAGCAGGATCGTCGGGTGAAATGGCCAAAGTACAGGGAGAGCCTTGGTTCAAATAAAATAAGGCAACTGGTAAATAAAATTCAAGGACCTTCTGAGAAATGTGGTGTTGCGCGCTTTCGCATTGTCAGCGATCCGAGGATGGATGGAGGGCGCAAAGTTGATGCAGATCAATGCCTGAAGCACCCATCTCTTGTGAATCTTGCCAGTGATTCGTAGTGATGTCAAAGTAAGCTGATGGTTGGCTCCAGGCATCATTTACAAAACTACAGCCTGTGAGGAAAGCGAAGGAGATGCTGCACGACTTCCTGAGGGACAGGATGGCCAAGTTACTGGCTGAGAAACCTGAATTGCGTCAGAAGGCCAATTGCAAGAAGTTGCTGGACGAGCTCAACGACAATGACATTGAGGTGGGATCATAATGTTGCTTCAGTCCATGTGGTTTTCAGTACTCAGTAGTCAATCGGTTTTGCCAGGTGCGTTGCGGTGCCAAAAATTGTTGTGAACCATCAGCCATGCTGCAGGCAAATTGGTGGTCTTGCCATGTCCAAATTGACAACGACCTGTGGGTAGTGGTGCCCAGTATGCCCAAGAATGCGCCAAACCTGATTATCTTGCACAAGGGTGCCTACCTCAATTGAGTCAAGTGAATGTTGGAATCCTTTGAATTTCAAATGTTCACACATGACATGAATCATTGAGCTGAGCCAGCAGGAGTCAATTCACTCGACTGGGCCTGCAGGCCAAATTGCTGTGGAGTTCGGTGGCTTCTTCTGTGAGCGTTTGATCCAATTTCATTTGCCCGCGGATGACAATGAAGAGCCAGCTGTGCAAGAGCCACAGTCGCTTCCACCAAATAGTCAGTAGACAGCAAGACTGACTCAACTGACACACTCAGTAGCATCTGAAGTGATGAGCAGAAACCACGGGGTGGTCAGTGATTCTGATGGCTTCAATTGTCTCATCATCATCATACATGGCCGAAATGATTCGTTCAGTCACATGTGGAAAAAACGATGATCAACTTATTGATTGAACGGTTTAACTGTGGCAGGATCTGGGCGCTTGTCATTCTCTCAGTACTCAGAACCAATGATTTGACTTGACTTGCTTTCTTCCGATACAAATGCAATTACATTGCGTCAATTGAATCAATTGAGTTCAGACTTGAATTGAAACTAACAAGAAGTGTTGCAGTCATGTCATTGTATTCTTCAATGTGAGGCCTGAACCAAGCCTGCAGATGTCTTTGAAAGGCCCGGTTCTGCTCCAGTCTTAATTCTTTTCAACATAACATGTTGAAGCTTCTAACAGTGAGCCAGTGTCTGTTGTGGCATCGCCTGTTCAACTGGAAAGCTGATTGATTTCATTTGGTTCATCATGCAGTGCTATTGCAGAGTTTCTCTCAATTGTGTCGTCAAGTATTGATGTCATCTCTTTTGGGTTTGAGTGATTGAGTTGTATGTGAAGCAGCTCAAGCACAATGGAAACTTCAAAATGCAATTACACTAGGTAGAGGAACTCAAGCATTGAAGTTGGACAATTTAGCCAGACATCTAATCTAGAAATCAAGTAAAAAACTATAAAATCAAAGTCATCTACTTCATTGAATGAAATCAAAATCATCGACTTAATTGAACAAAATCAAATTCATCTACTTTCTTAAATTCCAGCCAGCGATATTGCCTTGCCAATTGTCAATTGTGTCAATTGCTTCAATTGCTTTCAATTGATCGAAGCCATGGCAAACAAGATTCCTCGTAGCTATGCGCCCGGTGACAACAAGGACTACGACGACAAGAAGAAGCCAGGCAACGAGGAGTCCCAGTACCCATTGCCATTGGTGGTGGCACAGCCGCAGCAGAAACATGTGGCCCATGTGTTCTACTACTACCATTCTGGGAGCGGACGTCGCTCGGAGTGGATGACCCTCTGCAAGGACACTATGCAGTGCAACTTCCGGAGTGTCTTGGTTTTGAACTGATTTGCCTTAAGTAAACAAACACTGTTCTGAGTGTGCTTTCAAGTGACATCAATTGTTTCAATTGCCTCATGTGTTTTGAACATTGTCTTTGAGCAGCTTGCTTTGCTGAGGCAGATCAAAAAGCGGAGCATTGCACTGGAGTGAATTGCATGGCAAATGGAGCTGGGATGGCACTCTCCGGATTTGGGACTGGAACTGCCGAGGCGAGCATGCGCCCAAAGCATGCCGCAAGGACACCAACTTCGTCTTGGCTGCAGACAATGAGTTCCTTTGTGATCAGATATCGCCGTGTGGACACTTGGTCCGTAGACGAATGTGGTACATCGGCGAATTCCACATCGAGGCTTGGAACATTGCGTTATTGAATTTCATTGACAATAGATTTGCACTTGCATGAACCAAGCATGGTAAGGTCATGAACACAGTAGGTTAGTCAGCAATTGATAGTGCTTCCAAGTCAGTTGGCTCATTTTGGACCATTGGACTTGCTGAACAGGTCCTCGAGGCGTTGGCTGCTGAAGCGGAGCTGGAAGATGTGGATGCGGTGTCAATTGCGTCATGGCAACCATTGTCAATTGCGTCAGGTGTGCTGGCTGTGCAGGATGGCAGAGAAGCAGAGGATGGCGAGTGGGTTGTCTTTTGAATTTCGATGAGTCTTGGCAGTCTTCAATCCCTGACCAGGTTTTGTGGTAAAGTAGTGAATTCAAACTGCTGCGCTTCAGTTCACTTGGGATGTCATTCTTTAATTTGATTGGAATGCCTGTGGTGTCCCCTGCTTCTCCCTGTCCAAACCCATCAATTGAACGAATTCATTTGCGCCCATGCCAAGGACGGAAGCCATCCCAAAGTGCCTGCTTGGTTCCTGATAGAATTGCCTGAGCTGTTTTTGGCAAGATTCCAGAAGTGGGTGTGTATGGTTCCTCTTACTCTTGATTATAAAAAACAAAAAATGTTGTTGAAGCCATGGTGTGCTTTCAAAACGGAATTGAGGAACCATCATGATACCCATTATTCCAGAAGTGGGTGTGTATGGTTCCTCTTACTCTTGATTATAAAAAACAAAAAATGTTGTTGAAGCCATGGTGTGCTTTCAAAACGGAATTGAGGAACCATCATGATACCCATTAGCTGATATGGAAAGCATGTCAATTGAAGTACAATTGCAGCTCAATTGCCTTTTCAAAGTAAGAGTACTGTGCTTGAAAACATGAGCATTCAGTGGAAGACATGTCAAGGCTGAACTTCGAGATATATCTTTGTTGACATGCTAACAAAGTGTCAATTGCTTGTGATTCTAGTGCGCTACCATCCAAGTGGCCAGGTGCAGCCTTCGCTTCAACTTGGGGGCCCCAGGATTTCTTTGACAAGTACGTTTGGCAAAGTCATTTTCATCTTGAAAAGTGATTTGGGCAATTGAGTCAATTGGTTCATTTTAGTCTACTACTGACTCATGACTGCGCCAATGTACAGATTGTCAGCGGTATTGATTTGTGTTGATGTGTGTTGATTTGTGTGAAAACTGCAAAAGGATTCCCTAATCAATCTGATCTGCAAGTGTCCAAGCTAGCGCTGAGGTTTCTGTCATATTGATCGTGATCAGAGATTCCAGACTTACTTTATTTGATTGACATGGGACACTGTTTTTGTACAATACAAGCTTTGCTCATGGCATCAAATGATATGTGATTGCATGTTCTTGTCTTGTGTCTCAAGGTGGCTGGCGGTAACGTGCAGGCGCTGCTTCGTTTCCTTTTGAACTACTTTGTCTGTGAAGTCAATGTCATCAATTGTGTCATTTGAAGTCAATTGGCTCCAGGGAAGTCAGGTCAGTAAATTCCAAGAGGAAGTGTGTCATTCAAGGCATGCACTACTTACTTTTTGCAGGCCTTTGCGACATTAGCGGCAGGCCGAGGCGAGGCCTGTGTTGTTTACGTGCCGGTCATTATTCATTATGTTCATTCTTTCAAGTCAGTTCATTGAATTGCTTTGTCAATGGGTTTTGTGGTTGTAAATCTGACATATGACAATATGGCAGTCTTCACGAAGCAAAGTTGGCTCAAAGCTTTGCTGGGTGCCTCGATTCAATTGCATCAATTGCGTCAATTGCCGCATTTGTACCCAAACGGATTTAAGAACAAGTCATGCCTCATGCAGGAAAACATGATATTCAAAGGCCAACCCAATGAGCACCAAGAATGCAAGTCTTCAGTTTAAAGTTCATTTATTTGTTTGACATTGTTGATGTCTGCACCCAGCATTGCTGTGCAATACTTGCCATCTGAGTGGCGCTCGACTGTTAACAAGTGGCCAAGAAAAGCTCAGCAGGCTGCTTGATCGCACTGGTGAACATGCAATTGAGCATTTTGATCATTTATCATGTCTTACTTTCAATTTTGAGATAAATCCTGATGTGAGTGTGTTTACCAGAATCTGGGAGTAAGACATTAGCAAGTTGCTCGCTTGAGGCGATCTATCTCCTGTACCTTGAGTGCCCGAGTAACGCCCAGGATCTAGTGCCCCTTGGACCAAAAAAAAGGAGAATCGAATTTATGAAGTTTGCTGATTCGGGCTGCTATTTATGTTTGATTCATTGAAGATGTTCAGAGTTCAATTGGGTCAATTGTCTTCAGTGAAAGTGTGGGTCAATTGAGTTCACTTGGTTGTTTGTTTTCAGGGACCACATCAAGAAGAAACCACCGGCCTGCATCCTGAAGTACGTTCTGTCGTCATCGCGGGAAAAGATCAGGGAGTAACTTACTTGCACTGCAGGATGTTTTGCTTGGATGTTGCCAATGCTGGCTTGAAGCTGGTTCATTACCAAGGTACCACGAGAACAATGGCATCAAGTACGACAATGTCACCAAGAAAAGGTGACCAGACCACAGTTTCTTGGCTTTAAGAAGACATGTTGCCCAATCACATTGGCTGGTTTGGATCAATTGTGTGAATTGCGTCAATTATGTAAATCTGAAGTGTTGAAGGGCTGGCACTTGAATCAAGTTTGGATCAAATGTGTGATTGGGTCTGCTTTGGATGTAGTGTCTGATGTCAGGTGCCAATTCACTTGTGGAATCACCAAACCTTCAACTGGCCAAAGCGCGTCGCGATCCTGGGGTATGGATCGGGCAATGCGAGAAAGGGGTGGCAGGACAGGGCCTTGTGTCATGATCATTGATGGAAACTGACATTATGATGTTTAGTTTTCAGCCGCTGGGTTTGGTGTGTGATCAAGTTTCTTATTCTTTGTGCCTTTTGATTGCAGGAACCCCCGAAGGAGGTGGTCCGGATCATCGAAAAGATGGGCGGTCACTTGCGGGACCCAATGAAGGAAGTGTGGGAGCACCGGCTTCCTATCAAACTGTCTAGGCAGTGCCTTTGATGCATTCAGATCACAAGGATTTCCTTTGATTTCCTTTGAATGCATTCATGATGATATCATCATTGGTGGTTTGTTATTGGGATGCTAAGGTCCTTTGAAGAGCCTCAGGGTTCGAAGCAGAAGATGAGCGGACTGCACACGGAGGTGCAGGAGGAAGTGGCTTGGCATCAACGTCTTTGGGGTCGACACTAAGACAGGTTGTCAGTTCGTAGTGAAACTGATAACATGTTTGAACTCAGTATTGTCAATTGACTGAGCCAGTTGTTTTGCCTTCTTGTTTCATGTGCCTTTGATGTTGCTTCATGTAGTTCTTGTAGCGCTTGGCTCATTCAGGTCATCCGCCACACAGGGTTCCCAGCGGTGATCCTCGACATTTTGTCACGACCAGGGATGATCGTTCGGTTTCTTGCCTGCATTTGGCTAGTCTTGGCCTATCATTGCAGTGTACTTGTCATGTGATGTTTGCAATTGTGTCATTTGAATGCCTTGGAGCAACTCACAATTCTAATGTGAAAGACAGAAAAACAATTTCACCCAGTCAAAGCTTCAACCTTTGCACATTTGATTTTAGCTTCTTCAGACTTGTTTTGCTGAGGCTGACGTGTTCATGGGGCTGGCACAGAACCTTGGGAACGGCTGGTGTGATCATCAAGATCTTGCAGATGGCAGGCGTCGAGGTGGTCCTGTACTCCGCCCGCTTGTCGATGGCCCCTGCGGTGGATTGCAGCAATGTCATCGCCTTTCTGCAAGGGTCGCCAAATGTGTGTCTTGGCAAGAATTTCAAGGATGCCTCACCGATGTTGGGTTCAGGGTTTGAATATGTTTGCTTTCATGTTTTCAAAATTGATTACTTGCTTACTTGCCTTACCCTGATCAACATTTGTCCCCAGTGAATATTGAATTGCCTCAATTGATTCAATTGAAGTAATCTTTCATGTTGCAAGTGCTGCTAAGTTTGTCCTCGCTATGGCTCAGTGTTGCTCAGGACTATGCGAACCCTTTCGCAAAACATGTATGATGACATCACCGGGAAGCCTTGGACCGATGAGGACTTCAACAATGCCTTGGAGAGGGCTCGAAACCTGTGGAGAGAAGTCTACCCTCATTGCCGGATTAGCTTTCGGGAAAAGTCGGTGGCTCCACCCCCCCCGGGGGGGCCTCCCCCTCGGGACATTGGCCCGATAGCCACAGCGTCAGCAAGACCTCCTCCCAAGCCAACCCGCCCAGCCCCAAAGGCGGCATCAACCACCGCCCCAAAGGCAGAGCCAGCCTCAGCCTCAAGTGTGAAGAGGGAGCCATCCCCCACAGCCTCAGCCTCAAGTGTGAAGAAGGAGCCATCCTCCACAGCCTCAGCCTCAAGTGTGAAGAGGGAGCCATCCCCCACCGCACCTGAGCCAGCCCCAAAGGTGGAAGAGCCAGCCCCTGTCAAGGAGGAAAAGATCGGTATGCCGCCAGGGCTTGTGGATGAGCTCCAAACCATGAGCCCAGCACAGAAGAAGGCCAGGTGCTATTAGTGCTGCAATTGATTCAATTGATTAAACATTGTCATGGCCATAGTAAATGACATGGTTGCATGGTTTCAGTTGAGTAAGGGTTTTGGCATTGTCATTCAATCATGTTCTTTCCTTTGTCGCTGACAGGCCAAGCTCAGTGACCCCTACGTGCGGGAAATGATTCAGCAGCAGATCTCTTTCTTGCAGGGCCTTCTTGAAACTGATGTTGACGGGGGTGATGGATGGGACGAGGTGTTGTGCCATGGCTGCAGTTCAGTGATCCAGCTGTTGAGAAGGAGTGATTTGCTGTCATGCCACCAATGCCTGTGTCAAACTCATTATCATTATTGTTTGGCCAAGGGACGAGATCTTGACCGACTACCAGATCCAGCCTAGCATCAGAGCTATGATGGCCGCTGCCAAGATCTCCCGGAGCCACAAGATCAAACTAATGTGTCTGGTCTGGGTGTTGAACTTGAAGATCTGATATCTTTTCCTTGCTCACAGTTTGGTCAACAGGTCTGAGTGTTTCAGCTTTTTTGTTTGTATGTTTTCGAAACAAATACCAAGGTTCAACATGCTGCTCCGCTGGGGGAACAAGGCAGAGTCGAATGACTGGTTGCGCAGGGCAATTGGCAACTTGGCTTCACATGTCATGGCTGAGCACTCATGCTTTGAAGCAACATTTTCAAAAAACATGATTGATACTCAAAAAAGCATTTTCAAAGTTGTCAAGGTTGAAGTGCTTGTACTCCAGGTCAAGAAGAGGTTGATGCAGCACCGTCATCAAATTGGCGCCGCTGGCGCTGAGCATGGACTTTTTTCAATTTGTGGGCCAACTGAGCTCAACTGAAATTGCAGTCATTTGTGTCATTTGTGTCAATTGTGTCATTTGTGTCAATTCATCATTGACAAATGCAGTCTTGAAGCATGGGCATCAATTAGGTTGAACAATGAGTGCTTGTTCTTGTCGAAAAAAAAGTGAATGATGTTTAAGACATATGAATCAAGGTTTGGTTTCATGTTCAGTCTTTGCACCCATGCTTTCGTGTTTCCATGCTTTTTTGCCCATGCTTTCTTGCAATGACAGTTTGCAAACAATGGCATTTGAAGAAACAAAAAAGGGTGAACGCTAGTCCCAGCACAAGGTGATCATGTTGCAGAAGCAGTGAAACACTTTCATGGCAGCCGTTGCTTCATGTTACACTTGTTGTTTAGATGTTTGTCAGGCAAAGCATTGATAAAGGGTGGTGGGATGGGCTCAGTTAGCATATCTTCCAGATGACTTGTTTGCAAGTTGTGCAATTGGGTCAATTTGTCAATTGGGTCAATTTGTTGTCAATTGGGTCAATTTGTCAATGGCAAGTTATGTCAATGATGGGTGAGTCATGTCATCGCTTGCAGCACTTGTGATGTCAATGATTCTTTGAGTGTTTGTCTCAAGCATCTTCAGTGACAAATTGTTTCAGTTGATACAGTGTGGAACATGTGACATGTTTGAGGTTGCTCAGTTCACTACTTGGATGAGAAGGCATGGACTTTGTTTTAGCAATGGTTTCTTCATAGCCACATATCTCACTTGATTCAATTGTGTCAATTGAAAGATAGCCAACTAGAAACGGTGTCATTGATGGCTCAAAAATGCACCATCTTCATGTGAGGCAGATGGATCGATTGGTCTTGGGGGTGCTCTTGGACAAGCAGGCCTGGTTTCTGGGAGTCAGTCAATTTGTTTTCCATTGTCATGTTGCATCAATTGATTCAATTGTGTCAATTGCTTCTTGTCAGTGAAATTGATCCAGTTCATTGAAATTGTTTCTTTTCAATTTGGTCAATTTCAATCAATTGGATCAATTGGAATTTGTGTCATTCACTTTGATTCACTTTGATTCACAGCCAGTTGCATTGAGATTCATTTATATTCAAACGTACTAGATAAATCAAAAGCATATCTTAGATGAGTTTATTGAGATTCATATTCATACATACGTACTAGATGAATCAACAGTGCATATTCATATCTTAGATGACTCTGTTGAGATTCATTTTCATATCCACTAGATGAGCCAAACGTGCATGCATACTCATATCTTAGATGAATCTATTGAGATTCAACTTCATATTTACTAGATAAATCAAAAGTGCATAGTCCTGTTGAGATTCATTTTCATATCTACTAACTAGATGAACCAACCGTGCATAGTCATATCTTAGATGACTCTTTTGATATTCATTTTCAAATCCACTAGATGAATCAATAGTGCAAAGTCAAATCTTAGATGACTCTATTGATATTCATTTGCATATCCACTAGATGAATCAACAGTGCACAGTCATATCTAAGATGGCTCTATTGAGATTAATTTTCATATCCACTAGATAAGTCAATATTCACCCATATACTTACACAATAATATACTTACCAATATATTTAAATTTAGATATGAAAACATAATGTCAAGTGCATGGAGATGAATATTAAAAACTATGAATACTTGTATCAATTTCTCAAAATTGATCAAAATTGTTTAAACAATACTTATTCCCGTCCACAAAAATCTGCTCAAAATTGCTCCAAATTGCTCAAACTTATTTAAAAGGACTTATATCTGCCCAAAAAAAATTGCTAAAAAATGCTCAAAATGGTTCAAAATTGCTCAAAATTGTTTAAAAGTACTTATACCTGCCCAAAAAAAATTGCTAAAAAATGCTCAAAATGGTTCAAAATTGCTCAAAATTGTTTAAAAGTACTTATATCTGCCCACAAAAATCTGCTCAAAATTGCCCAAAATACCTGCCCACAAAATCTGCTCAAAATTGCTCAAAATACCTGCCCACAAAATCTGCTCAAAATTGCTCAAAATTGCTCAAAATTGCTCAAAATTGCTCAAAATCGCTCAAAATCGCTCAAAATCGCTCAAAATCGCTCAAAATTGCTCAAAATTGCTCAAAATTGCTCAAAATTGCTCAAAATTGCTCAAAATTGTTCAAAATTGCTCAAAAGTACTTAAAAAGTACTTATACCTACCCAAAAAATCTGCTCAAAATTGCTTAAAAAGTACTTATACCTGCCCAAAAAATCTGCTCAAAATTGCTCAAAATTGCTCAAAATGGCTCAAAATGGCTCAAAATTGCTCAAAAATGCTCAAAATGTCTCAAAATGTCTCAAAATGCCATTTTGAGAAATTTTGAGGTGATTTTGAGACATTTTGAGACATATTGAGACATATTAGGTGATAGAATCAACACGATGCATGATAATAATGTAGTTACATCAATAACGTTGTATGGTGTGCAAATCATGATTAGGTTCACAAACTTCGGAATGGCGACCAGCTTGTGGGGAGATTAATTTGTAGGGAGTTTTGGGTGCAAATCATGATTAGGTTCACAAACTTCGGAATGGCGACCAGCTTGTGGGGAGATTAATTTGTAGGGAGTTTTGGGCATCTCTAATAGGTGATAGAATCAACACGATACATAATACCAATGTAGTTAAATCAATAACGTTGCAAATCATGCTGCAGCAATTGAGTGAGTCAAGCAATTGTAGCCATCACATTTGACACAATTGAGTCAATTGGATCATCATGCCAGCTGCCCCTGTGAACCGAGCTTCCAAGAGACAACGCACTTTGCCCCAGATGATGGAACACATGATGAATCCCATGATGATGAATCCCATGATGGGTGGAATGATGAATCCCATGATGGGAGGTGGCATGGCGCCTATGTTGATGGGTGGCTGCAATGGAATGATGGGACCCATGAATGGAATGATGGGTGGAATGATGAACCCAGCAGCCATGCGTCGAATGATGGAAGATGTTGCGGCTGGGGAAGATGCTGAGGAAGAAGTCCATGATTATGATGATGTTGGTGCAGTCCAAGATGCTCCTCCTCCTCAGCCTGCTGCTGCTTCGGCCTCTGTGGTTGCGCAGCCTGTGGCTCCTGCTGTGCCTGTCCCTGCTCAGCCTGAGCACCAGCCGCCGCCTGTGCTCCCTTACAACAAGAGTGATGATGCTGCCATCACAAGGTCTGCAAGTATGATCAGAGGCCTGGGGTGGGACATGTATGTAACCGATGTTGATATGATGATCCTATGTTTGTTTTAAGTTTTGTTGATATGATGATCCTATGTTATGTTGATATGATGATCCTATTTTTGTTTTAAGTTATGTTGATATGATGATCCTATGTTTGTTTTAAATTATGTTGATATGATGATCCTATGTTATGTTGATATGATGATCATATTTTTGTTTTAAGTTATGTTGATATGATGATCCTATGTTTGATTGAATTTAAGTTATGTTGATGTGATGATCCTATGTTATGTTGATATGATGATCCTATTTTTGTTTTAAGTTATGTTGATATGATGATCCTATGTTTGATTCAATTTAAGTTATGATGATATGATGATCCTATGTTATGTTGATATGATGATCCTATGTTTTTTAATTTATGTTGATATGATGATCATATGTTTGTTTTAGTTACCATGCTAGTGGGAAAATGGTAAAATGTTTGCAAGATAAAATTGTGCAATGTTCATTTCATGAATGGTCATATGGTCTGCTTCCTGTGGTTGTCAGGCATTCCCATGACAAGACTTTCCTATGCCATTGAGAAGTTGGTGCCAGCCCTGGATGCCGGCTACACCAGTGGCCTCACCCAGCGAGGTCTTCTTCAGCTTCTCTGGATCATCACGAAGTTAAAGCCATCTCTCAAGATTTCGAATCTTCGTGATTTGGTGAGAATCAATCAGTGTTGTTGTTTTAGATTACGATTATTAATACTTTAGTTGTTGTTTGTGTAGTTCATTAGATTGTCCCTGTTTGGCCATGTTGTGTTGAGTTGTTGTGTCTTTGCAGCCACAGATAATGTCATCCAATGACAATGAAATGTTTATATACATTTATATATTAATAATGTAAAATATACAATGATAGAGATTCTTCAACATCAGTCAAAGGTTATTGTACCCATCTCACCATCAATCGCCCAGGTGTGACCTCGTATGATGATCTTGGCAACAGGTTCAAGAAGGCCCATGACAGGATCAAGGATTCCTGCGAAGGGTTTCCTGACAACATCGTCCAGGAGCTTCCGTTGGTCTTGGGGGATGCCGAGGTCAATGATGTGGCTGTTGCTCAGGGATGGAAAGATGAGTTCCTGAAGCCTGTTTCTTGTGCAAAGGCTCCTCCGCCCAGTGTTGCTGAGTTCTTTGCAGGCAGGCGTCCGGCTGCAGCACCTGTGCCGGCGTTGTCTCACCCCCCTGCGCGCAATTCGTCAATTGCGTCAATTGCCCCAATTGCTGTGACAACAAGCAAAGCTGCTCCGCCAGCTCCAGCCAGCCCAGCTGCTGAGGCAGCTGCTCCGCCAGCTCCAGCCCGCCCAGCTGCTGAGGCAGCTGTGAGAGATGCCACTCCACCAGCTGAGCCTAGCCCAAATGGAGATGCCCAGGGAGCTGAGCCTAGCCCAGCTGTGGACCCGGCTGTCGAGCCTAGCCCAGCTGCTGAGGCAGCAGCTGTGACTGTGCCAGCTGCAGATGGAGATGGCGCACCCATTTGTCTGATTTGCCAGCAGGAGATGACCAATGGCGCGATGAAGACACTTGGGTGCGGCCACACATATCATCTTTCTTGTATGGAGGGCTGGTACACAGCAACATCCAACTTCGAAGAGCGTTGCCCTCTCCGTTGCCAGATCACGCCCCCAGCTGGTGATCGAGCTGTTCGAGGAGCGGATGACTTCGAGGTTGTGGACTTCATGTGAGTCTGAGTGAGTGACTGGCAGATGATCGGATGGCTGAACTTGGCCCAATGGCCCAATCTAGTTGGCAGATGG